AAAAAAAAAAAAAAAAAAAAAAAAAAAAAAAACAGAAGTATTGAAATGATAGCAACCCTAGTATGTCTGAAAACAAAATAAGGGAATATGGAAAGGTGCTTGAGACTGTGAAGTACGTCCCTTCTATATTCTGAAAGTGATCTTTCGCTCACTTATCTTTTATCCGAGAAAAGCTCTTCACGACTTTTTTTTGTGCTATTTTTGTTCAGACAGACGCTGCGGCTTTTCTTCAAAACAAAGCAGTACAAATCCCCACAGTGTCTGTGGAGGAAAAAGCGCATTATGGGAAGAGGCTGCGGCGGCTAATACAGTCCAAGAGGAGTCGGGTCAAGAAGCAATTAGGGCTAATCTGCTACTGCTGTTGTTACTCGCCGCGGCAAGCTCCCTCCACCTCCTCCTGCCCGCAATGTCGTTAGCAGTGAATTGTGCCGATTCTTAAGTGACAGCAAAATCAACAACAACAACAACACCGAGGAGAATCAATGCAAGCACCAATCGGCCCAAACACAACTCCATATTCAAATATAATAAAACGCATTCCTTTTGTATAGAGACTTTTTCACGGATATGTTTTTTAATGGTCGTCATGGACCAAATGACCAGAGAGGAGTTCCCTCTTATAGGCGATTTTGCGGTCCACCTCCCCGCTCCCACCTCCTCAACTTATGTGTACATCACCGAAGAGCGGTGGAAAGGCCCCCAGATTATCCAAACAGAACATTCAGGAATTTTATAAAAGTCATTTGCGATAAAATATGCGGTAGAAATGGAGACCACTGCAAGTAAAAAGCTGTCCTTTTCTTTGACGACTTTTTTTTAAAAACAAAAAAATGGGTGTTCCCGAATTACGGAACCTTTTTCCTATCCTCCTCCTTCCCATCTTCTCGACAAACTCAGAATAAAAGCAACTTTCGAGTGAAACAAACCCCGAAAAGCCGTTGACGAAAAAATTCAATTTTACGAAATCATCGCGCTATACGATTCAAAATGAGGGATGGGGAGAAGAGCTAATTGCGAGGATAGCAACGATACGTGTCATTATCTCATCAACATCACAGTAGTTGTTGATTTAAGCCCGTAGGGCTCTGGATGGCGCACTACAATTTAAACCTGCAATTTTGCATTATTACATATATATTTCCATGCAAACTATTATTGTTTCCAGTGAATGGCAATGCAATTGACGCCAAGGATGGTGATGATGATGAGGGCGATAATGGCGATGCGGCCAGCCGATTCCCTATAATTCCTTTATCTGATCATCTAAATTCACTCAATTCTTGCATAAAATACCAACTGCGATTGAAGAGTAACTAACTACTCGGTTCCCTCCTCGTCCTCCTCCCCCACACGCCTCTCACTCTCTCGCACCTCCAACTTTAATTCGCAGAATTAAGCTAATTCACATTGCTTTCTATCCTACCAACAGTCAAAGCATCCTGTACTACACATGCGTGGTTTTGTACAATTTTACCAAGCTGTAAATGGATGAAATGATAATTCCGTTTCGCTGATCTGCTGCAAAACCTAAGTTCGATTTTACAACATCTAATTTGTTGCAGTAATCCTGGGCTTTAACTCTGAGGTGGCGCTATGGAAGAAACCTCAGTTTTGATCTCGTTTCTTTTAAGACAGCTGAATTATGGATCTTGAGGCAAAATCTAGCTAACCACCCTGTACTAGTGGCAGCAGACTGGCTGCACTACAGATAGTTTTCATATCCACTGATTTTTTAAACTTAAGACCCTAGCAAACAAAACGTATATTAAATCCTTGATTTCTGTTCTACTTAGGTCCCTTCTAGATCCGGGCTTTTTTTAAAGCAAATCCGGTCCACATCTTTTAGATTCTCCTCTCTCTCTGTGTGTGTCTGTAACTATGAATGCACCAAGGTTTTAAAAATATCATCTGAAGGAACACCAAATCGATGAATGATGACTTTTGCTCTGCTTTTAACAATGCACATATGGCCTTCCACAACACAGTGATCGGTTACTGATAACCGCCACGCTTCGATCGTTTTTCAAGAACTAAAGCTCAAGCAATGCTGCAAGAGCCCTGCACCCGTAAAGCGTCATATTTACACCAGATGCACTCACTTCTTTGTTCATTCGGCCGGATGCATCCGCATCGATTTCTGTGTTGAGCTAATTCACTGGTTTAGTATGCAAAAAGGTACTAGACAAAAGAGATGCCGACA